TTTTCCGGTTAGTGAAGGAAAAGTGAATTGGGCTAGCTTCTTTCTGCTATAACCATGTCATCACGAACAGTGGCAGCAGGTGCTACCACTCACTGCATGCTTCCAGTGTGCTAGGTGGTTCACACATAGAATCTCTGACTCCTTAAGTGTTAGACTCAAAGACGCAGCTCTCTTCCAACGACTGCCAGTGGCTCAGAAGGGCATGGTATGGGCAACCTCAACAGGTGACACCCAGCTCCTAGAACAGGGCCTTCTTATAGTACCAACTTGGCATACACATGCCCTGTCTGGTTTAAATCCTGGCCCCATGGCAGCAGGCCCATGTGGCATTGTCTTTGGCAGGCTTCCAGCATCTTTACCCACCCATGGTAGATCTGTGTCCCATACAGTGTTGGACAAGAATTTAAACTTTTCCTACAGTTGCAGAGAGGTATAACTTGGCACTCATGTCCCTGAAACTGGCTTTTGTTCGTTGGGGGAGGAAAAAGGGTAGTTTTGCTCTCAAGCAGAATAAAAGATAGTGCAGAACAAAGCCTGGTGGGATAAATTTGTAAGTTTGTGGGAAGGGAATTCGATTAGGCTTGGCTTATGGAGTCTGAAGAGCAATGAAATGTGTTACAAATTTGCTGAAGTCAGCTCAGTTTTGATCAGTTTATTCACTTTACTTCCAGAATGAAGGTTCCTGGGAAACAACAGATTGGTTTTTTTTTTTCACCTCTAAAAAGGAAGGTGCTATAGGCTTTGGGCCAGTGTCGTGGCACAATTGGTAAAACTACTGCCTGCAATGCCAGCATCCCATATGGATGCTAGTTCATGTTGCAGCTGCTTCACTTCTGAAAGAACTCCCTGCTAACGTGCCTGGGAAAGCTGAGGAAGGTGGCCAAGGTGCTCAGGCCCCTGCACCCACATGGGAGACCTGCATGGCATTCTGAGCATCTCATTTTGACCTGGACAGCCCAGTTTTTGCAGTCAACTGGAGAATGAAACTACATATGGAAGCACTCTCTATCGCTTACTCTCACTGTACTGCTACCTTTCAAATAAATAAATAAACCTCAGAAATACAAATATAATTAGCTTATTTGGTACCTCATTGGTGATAATAATCAAATCAGAAAAGATAAGCAGCCTTTTCCTGAGTTTAGTCTTTATGGGTAAAAATGTGATTATCTACATAAATATGCCACAAGCGATAGGCAGTAAGGGAAATGCCAGATTTCTATGTCTAATGACGTCGGTGGACTGCAACTTTACATCTTTTGTTTGAATCTAGCAAGATCCAGGCCAACAGTCTTCCATTGGAATGTGTGTGTCTGCCTTTCTCACGGAGTGTATCAGAACACAGATGTTCAGGACTGACGCCAGATTTCCTGAACCTCGTTAGTGAGGCGTGCTCTGTAACTCTCTGGGTTTGCTTATATGCCACATCTTGAGATATTTTTAAATGCAACATCTTAAGATGTTTTCCCCTGTAAAAATGATTAAACGTCATTTTTATACATGGATATAATAGTTTCCATCTTCGTGGAAATGAGCCCAATTCTGTGTGTAGATATCATCCCACCTGTTGTTGCCTGGAACAGTTTCTTCTCTTTTGTTTTTGTTTTTTTACAGGCTTCGGAGCAAACTTCCTTGCGGGCTGCATTACTTTTTGTCCTGAGACAGTGTCAGATCATTCACTTTTGGGAAATATGAGTAATAAGTTAGCCAGAGCTTTTTGGTCTTTGTCACCCACAGGTGGTTTTTGTTAGACTTGATGCTTCGCAAAGGCTCTACAACCAGTTACAGGCCAGAATTGCGTCTCTTTCCCCAGGACTGCCTGCAAAAGCACCGCACTGAGTCTCTGCTGGCAGCACTTGGATGACTGTCGGAAAGTACATACTGGTGGACTGAGTCAGGTGCCCCAGCGGACACGAGTTATGAGCTTGCTAACCTAAGTCAGTGGAATGCAATTAATCACAGACGAAGGGTTCATGGAAAAATACATATTATGGAAAAAACAATGGATGGATTTCAAAAAAAATTTTTAGACTAAAATAAACTTCTCTCAATTCTATTTTTTCATAAGCTGTTTGAACTCAGTGAACCAACAAGCTATGATCACCACCACAAATGTCTGCCTTGCGGCCATCGTGTTCAATTTTCCGGATACAAACATCATGAGGGTCTTGGCCTTCCTTTCTTCCTACGCTCTCGAACACTTCAGTAGATCCTGCTTTTGCACACAGAAATGAAACATTTCTAATCATCTAATTTTCCCTACCTGACTTCTCAGAACTGATGAACCCACTGAGTTTCTCAAGGCAGTGGGGTTCCTTGTACAGGGGTGAGAACTTGGCCTCCTTTTGTAGCCAGAGCGTAATTAGAAAAACGAGTGATGCAATCAAGGACTCGCCTGGAAAGTTGTCTGCAGCAAGGATGCTCACCGCCGTCGGATACAACCAGCCTCCTTTCGAGCGGAGTGTCATTGTACAGATGCCATGTTAGCACAACCTTCTCAAGAAAGCTGCTGGCTTCCCAGCCTGACCAAACCCACAAGAACCTTAGAGTTAACCCCATTTCTGAAGGCACAGCAAGTGAAACCTTGTGTGGACAGTTTCTTGGCATGACTTCCTAATTCAAGACAACAAGTACTAAAAGGATTTGAAAAGTTCAAGCTAGGATCCCTAATGAGCATTTCTGGCAGAGCAAACTTAACAGACCCAACTGGTAAATAAACACTCCTGCTGGAGTTACGTAAATAATGAGAAAACATCTAACCCAACCTGCTCCCTGATCGAAATAATCTTTCTTGGAGATTAATTTTTATCAAAACTGGGGAGACTAGAAATTTAAAAAAAAAAAGTGTGTGCTTTCCTGTATATAGAAAACTGCACATTATCTAGGGAAATCCCTGCAGTTTATCTGGCTCTGACCTTTAACTTATCTGACTCCAGCTTTTCACTGACCTTGAGCTGTGCTATCATTCTCCGAAGGGAGGGACAGGTGGCAAGTCTGTGGACCAGAGTTCCCATAAGTCTTCCTGTCCAACCTCCTTTGGCTTCAACCTTCCTCATCTATAAATGGATAGGCTCCTTGGACTCCATTTTTCTGAATTGTAGTTAAACAAACACAAAATGTGCAGCCAGGTTTGCCTGAACAGCCAGTGGCATGCAGCCCATTCCCATTGCCCTGGAACCATCACCACCACCTTCCTCCCGGAGTCCTCCTCTTCTCCAGGGATATCCCACAGAGAGCCAAACTCCTTTTTCTGCCTATCTCAAGTGGAACAAATTATAAACTCTCTGACTCCTCATTATAAGTAAAATAAAATCTTTAACACATGTTCCTGTCCATATCATCATAGGAGTCAACACTTTATCTCTTCCTGATCCATTTTTTCCTCATTTGCAAACTCAAGGAGGAGCAGATCATTGGTCCGAATGAGTGAAGAAGCTTGGAAGACACGTAGCTCGGCCCCAGTGGGACATTCCTAACCAGCTGTTGTGATTTCCCTGGGGTCTAGAAGGATTTGGGATGAGAAACTGTTAGCTTTAAACCAGACAAGGGCCCTGCATGGTAGCCTAGTGGCTAAAGTCCGCGCCTTGCATGTGCTGGGATCCCATATGGGTGCCGGTTCTAGTCCCGGAAGCTCCACTTCCCATCCAGCTCCCTGCTTGTGGCCTGGGAAAGCAGTGGAGGATGGCCCAGCAGCGTGGCCTAGCGGTTAAAGGCCTCTCCTTGAATGCCTTGGGATCCCAAATGGGAGCCAGTTCTAATCCCAGAAGCTCCACTTCCCATCCAGCTCCCTGCTTGTGGCCTGGGAAAGCAGTCGAGGACGGCCTGAAGCTTTGGGACCCTGCACCCATGTGTGGATACCAGGAAGAAGTTCCTGGACCCTGGCTTTGCATCGGCATAGCATCGGCCATTGGGCTCACTTGGGGAGTGCATCATCGGATGGAAGATCTTCCTCTCTGTCTCTCCTCCTCTCAGTATATCTGACTTTCCAATAAATAAATAAATCTTAAAAAAAAAGAAAGCAGTGGAGGATGGTCCAAAGCCTTGGGATCCTGCACTTAAGTTGGAGACTTAGAAGAAGCTCCTGGCTCCTGGCTTTGGATCAGCTGAGCTGCAGTTGTTGCAACCATTTGGAGAGTAAACCAGTGGATGGAAGATCTTTGTCTCCTTCTCTCTGTAAATCTGACTTTCCAATAAAAATAATAATAAAAAATCTTTTTTTTAAGTACCTGCTGTTGTCTAGAGGAAATCCCCATGACTATGACTCTCATTGGGAACCCAGGCCACCTACTGCTCTATCACCTGCTTCTCCAGACAGGCCAGGAATCTGGCTGTTTTTGCAAAATTCAGCGAAGGTCACTAACACATTACTTTAAAATTGCTGCGTAGACCAAACTGCTGCAGGTTTCGAGATTACCTGACCAAGAATCACTGAGCCTTTTTCACCCACCGCCCAGCAAGGACACATGGCTTCCTTGGGTCTCCTCCGACCTTCTGTGGTCAGCCGGGAAGCTGTTGCAGAAGCCACTGAAGGAGCTTGGTGACTACCCAGCTGTCAGCCAGCTGTTGTGCAGCTGGAGAGAAAAGCCCCTTCCAGAGACGTCCCTCAGAGCTGAAACCTTTCAGGATAGGCTACCAGGGCCACTGAGTTCTGATCTCTGTGTTACCCAAGGGCTAAAAGAGACCTCTCTTCCCTCCACCTCCCCCCGGGCCTCCTCGGCTCCCCCAACCAATGAAGGCCAATGCCCCGGTGCTCCGTGAAGAGAAAGTGGGGGTGCCCCAAAGGAACGCGGTGCGAGTGGAGGTGAGGACCACATACAGGACACCACGGCATCCGCCGGCAGTCTGTTCATTTCGGACGCCCAAGAAGCTGGGGACGCAGGCTGGCGCCGCCGACGGAACCCACGCCACATCCTACCGGACACCCCCGAGCTGATGGGCTCCGGTGGTCCAAGGAGGGGAGCAGCTCCAGCCCGGAGTCCTCCCAGCCCAGTCCTGCTCACCAGCTGTCCCTGGAGAAGGCGCGGAGGACCCAGATTCCCGGAGCCAAGGAGGACCGCATCTTGCTCGGCCGGTACCCCAAGATGAGTCGACGGAGGACGGCGCAGGCCTGTTGCGTGTGTCACACCGGCTGTCAGCTGGGTTTAAATGCCCCGCCGACCGGCCCGCCCCGGCCCGGCGGCCGGAGCACACGAGCCTCCGCCCCCTTGCACTCGAATGCTCTCCGGACCGGGCCGCGTGCAAAGCCGCTGGCCATTCCCGCCGATGCAAGTCAGCAACACCCTGGCCTTCTAGCGCTTGGTCTCTGCACCAGCGCTGACAGCTGGCGATTTCCTGGGCTCCTCTTTCGAACCGGCGCTCTCCGCTTCCCTCCCTAGACGTTATCGGCTCTTTGCTACGCCCCTCTGGCCGCTGCAGTCCCTGCAGCGCGGAGTTCTACCCCGAGGGGAACAGAAACCAGAGCTCGCTGGAGCCTGGGCGCCCCGCTGCCAGCGCAGAAGGGGGTCTCAGGGAGGGACGGTGGCGTGTTGGAACCGAATCTATCTCTCAATCTCTGGCCTCAAGCCAAGATTTGAGGCTGCCAGGGTTCTCCCACGCCCCCTTCAGACACTGCCCTTTCTTAGTATCTCTGCTAGTCACAGGCTCTGTGGCGGAAGGCCAAAGACAAGGAAGGGATATATCATGCTCGTAAAAGTGACTGCCTCTAGGGTGAAGATCCCAGGTGTTTGCTTATAAAGAGATGATAGTGTGAGAACCCTGAGTATGATTCCTAGGGAGAACTACAGAGTTCTCTGGAAAGGGAAGTCTTTGTCTGAAATAAAAAAAACACAAAGTTGTTAATAGAACTTAAAATAGAAGTGTGCCTGGGCAAATGGGTTTTCAGCCCGGACTCCACCCTGCTCCTATCTCCTAGGAGTGTTCAAGGCTAACAAGGTCAGGGAAACGCAGCGAAGACTCCAAGCAAGCAGGTGAGCACCAGAATAATGGGCCTGGCAGGAAACAGCCCTGTTAATGCCACATAGCCACCTGCAGGGGTCTGGGAGGAGAGGAGCAGAGTAGAACAAAGGGGATGGCAGGGAAGAAGAACTATCAGGTGATCCGGGGCACAGAGTTGAGCAAGGGCACGCCTCATAGCTGCTCACTTAATCAAATCCCAAATTGCACCGCTGCTGTGCCGAGGTGGAGTTTACTTCATATTTACAAGTCAGTTAAGGTGGGTGTTATCATCTGGACCAAGTGACTTTCTGTCCTAGCTTACCTGAGAAATCCCTGGAGACATCTGATGTGCCAGAACAGATGATGGACCAATGTGGCGTAAGCAGTCCCAGACACCTCAGGTTAATGTTATGCTGGTAAAGATGTAGAAAATAAACCAGAAACTACTGGTCTCCAAGGAACAACAGCGAAGGGATGAGTTGGGATGCAAATGAGTCAGGGAAGTTGTGGGTTCTAGAGGCTGTCCTGGAGACCATCACTGGGGCGATGGGACAGACTGTGTCTGAACTGCTGAGGTGTCTTTTAGACTTGGCTTACGTCTTACCATTTCAGAACGAGGAAAGCCAAGGAATAAGTCTTGCTACTGCTCATTTTCCTTGCCCCTGAGAAGACAGGCTTGTGCCTCTTGGGGGACCATGCTTGTCTGGTGCTAGAACCAGAGGTATTAGGAGTATGCCCTATGGGGATGGCTGCCAAGGTGGAGCAGGTGAAATTTCTATCTGAAGTGCCAGCATTCCGTCGGGGCACTGGTTCCCGTCCTAACTCCTTCACTTCCCATCCAGCTCCCTGCTTGTGGCCTGGGAAAGCAATCAAGGATGGCCCAAAGCTTGGGACCCTGCACCTGCATGGGAGACCCAGAAGAAGTTCCTGGCTCCTGGTTTCAGGTCTTTGTAGTCTGAAGTGAATCAGCAGATAGATCTCTCTCTTATTCTCTCTCTCTCTCTCTCTCTCTCTCTCTCTCTCTCTCTCTCTGTCTTCTACCTCTCCTTGTAATTCTGCCTTTCAAATAAGAAGGAATACATCTTTTTTAAAAATCCAAAGAATATACCCTTGGCCAGGCATTTAGCTTGGGGCCCTGGGTTCAGTACCCAGCTCGTGATTCTGTCTCCAGCTTTCTTCTGATGCAGACCTGGGAGGAGGCGGTGATGGCTCCGGGAACTGGGCCTCTTCCGTTTATGTGGGAGTCCTGGGTTGACTTCTTAGTTCTTGACTTGAGCCCAGCCCAATGCCAGCTGTTGGGACTGGGGAGGGAACCAGCAGCTGGGAGTGTCCTTTCTGTTTCTCTCTGCCTCTCAAATAAATAAATAAAAGAAAGAAAAGGAAAACACCTTGGTGGTAATTTGCCGTTGGTCATGATGTGCCAACAAGCAGCTGGGAGCAAGGCCAGTCCCCAAACAGTCTGTGCCTTGTCCCAGGTACTTCTGAATTCTCGCCATGTGCCCTTGTTCAGGAACCAGGATGGCAACTGGGACATGCTGCCAACACGGGAAGTCTTCCACCCCCACTCCTGCAGTGGGTAGGACCAGTTCTTTTCTCCCTGCTGGGCTCTCCTGTCACTCACCTCCCTAAGCTTTCCACTCCCAGCTCACCTCCCCCGTGTCATCTAGACTCCATCACATACCATCTTCTTCAGTCCCACAGGATATGGGCACTGTCTGAAGGAAATAAAGAGGGAAGGGAGGAGCTGCCAGATTACACTGAAGGACAAGATCCTCATTTCTTGCATGTGCAGGTCTTATGAGAAGGAGACACTTGTGAGAAACACTGGCAGTTAATGGACCATCTTTTTACTCTTCAGGTACTAATCCCTACTGCCACAAGTGGTTGTGGACTACCCACAGGACTTTCTGAGTAGCAGTTAGCTATTCTAATCACTGCCACGATGTGCCAGCAACTGTCCCCCTGGATTCTTTCAAAGGACTACAAAGAGCTGAGTGCAAAAAGTCAGAACACATGCCATGAGCAGGAGCTTCTGGGCCACAGAACCCCTGGATTTAACTATATTCTCTCTCTGAATAGGTTTCCTTTCTTCTATCTAATGAAATAGAACAGCACCATTTTGTGTGTGCAGGTGTGCTACAATGAGACCAAAGCCCTGATAGAGGGGCGGGGGCTGGGGTATTTGGGGAAATTGATTTTTCAGTCTTGTATTAGATTTCTCCATTGAGATGAAGTGACCTAGTGGAAAGAGCGTGGCCTTGTTTGGCACCAGAGCTGACCCAGAGCCTCAGTTCCCAGTCTGTGAAATGTGGCCAGAATGACCTGGCAGGGTGGGCTGTAAGGATTTTTAGAAAGTCTATAATATGTGTGATACCACTTTTTAAGAGGTACATTTAGTAAGTGGAGCAGTTCTTACACTGTGCATGGGTCTATCTACAGAATCAGGTTAGAGTTACTACACTGGGAAAAGCCAGTGGCTATAACATACGGGAACACAATTCAGAGTCCTGAAAAATGATTTTGATAGAATAGGTTTGACCTATGAAATCTTTGACATCATGTGCTGGTTATGTATTGCCAGGGCTGGGGAGGGGGTATTGTTTCTCTGTGTGGACTGAAAACTCATTGAGTTGTTATTAGCATTATCATACATATGTTCAATATTTTTTAAAGATTCATTTTATTTTTATTGGAAAGTTTGATATATAGAGAGGAGAAGAGACAGAGAGAAAGATCTTTTGTCCAATTATTTACTCCCCAAGTGGTCACAACAGCCAGAGCTGAGCTCTGATCTGAATCCAGGAGTCCCAAGTCTCTTCTGGGTCTCCCATGTGGGGGTGAAGGGTCCCAAGGCTTTGGGCCGTCCTTGACTGCCTTCCCAGGCCACAAGCAGGGAGCTGCATGAGAAGTGGGGCTGCTGGGACACAAACTGGCACCCACATGGGATCTTGGTGCATACAAGACGAGGACCTTAGGCTACTGCAACGGGCCCATGTTCAATAATTTGAAGTTGAAAAGAATATCTGTATGAACTGAGTTTCATAAAAATGAAAGAAGTTTTTATTGGCCTAAATATGTTAAATACTGAAATCTCAAAAAAAAAATTATGGCTCAATTCCTATGCACCAACTTAGTCAAAAGACAGACAAGGTGACCATGTGTCGCTGTCCTGCAGCGACAGACTTGGTGCATGGAGCCAATAATAACACGCGTGCACCCTGACTGATGGTCAAAGCCGAAGTTTATTAGGGGCATCAGACTTTATACACTGAAAGTCCGTACTGGGTAGGGGAGGAAGTATCGAGCTCATAAACAAAACCATCAACTGTTTTCGCACTCTAGATTGGAATTCCTTTTGTCTTGTATTTCGCGCTAGGTGTTCTCATTCACATGCTGTTTACTCGACCCGTGGGAACTATCTCCCAACAGGTATACAAAAGGTAGCCATTTGGTTGTTTCCATGCAAATACTGCCCAATGAACTGCAAACCTGTGCTCGCTGACCTTCCAGGCTCACAATGTCCTCCTACAACCATGTATCCAAAACAATATTTTCTCAATAAAAGCCCCAACTCTTGAGAGTGCTTGGCAAAGAAATTCAGAGCTTCATATCAGTAGTCAAGAATGGGGGTTTCAGCCTACTGAAGACTGGATGGAAAACGGGCTGTACACATCAGCCAAGCTTCAGGCAGTTACTCTCAAATTTCAACCTCTGTAGGTTACCCGTGGTTGCAGCACGCACATACAAGGACAACCTGGAAGCAGGCAAGCCTTAGGAGTGATTAAGTTACTCCAATTTTCCAAAGTCACTTCATTTGCGGAAACAGAGGATAATCATGAAGGTGGTGTAGCCTCAGGCCGCTTAGTCACACAAGCTAGGGACAACTTTTTGTTGTTCTAGTGTGTGAAAGTAGTAAACTCATTCACTTAATCCTTTCATAAACTGCTGTTGAGCACCAGTTTTGTTCCAGATGCGGTGCTATGCATTGAGGATACACATGCAGGCACAGACCGCAATCTGAAAGATTTACGTTGTACAGGACCAGGATGGAGAGACCCAATCCTCCCTCAAAGAGCAAGGGAGGAGAGATCAGCTCAGACAAGCAACAGGCTTAGGAGGTGATGTTTCTACCACCACAGTGTACCATGCGCCCTGGGTGCATCACGTAACCCCAGGAGGGTCTTAGAAGCCTTCACTGTCAGGACTACAGGAACAATGTTTGAGGAATAGTGTTGCAGGCTGAGTAGATAAGAGGAGGGTTAGGCTCAGCAGAGCTCGTAGGCACCAGTGGATGCAAGAGAGCAACTCTTGAAAAGGCACAGTACGCTGAGGGAAGGGTGCATGAGAAATCCCCTGTAGCCGACAAATCCATGCTCATGGTGAGGAGTCAGGGAAGACACGGCCATCATTATTTGTGGTGAGCTAATGAGAGCTTTCAATGTCTGTTAATGGTTTGGAATTTTATCTTTTGGACAGTTGAGTATGGTGACAACAATGCTTCTAATGGGGGTGAAAGCTGGACACAATCATAATACTGTTTATTAAGTGAATAAACACATTGTGGTACCTTCATACCATGGCATATAACTCACCAGTAAAAAGGAATGACTAACTGATCAACACAA